TCTCATATTGGGAGAAAGGCAGTGCAAAAATAAAATAAAATAAAATAAAATAAAATAAAATAAAGAAGAAAGAATGGACAATTGAATTAACTTTTAAAAACTGCAGAAGTTAAGTAGCATTTTTAAAATTTCAAATCACTGAAAGTTTAAAGATCTGTTATGAAAACAATGAAATATATGGGTCTTTTCACATATGACAGACCTGCAAAGTCACCGAAAATATTATCAGCAGGTAACCATAGCTACCCAGCTCCCTCCAGGATGTGTGCATAATACATACATTTGTACCAATTGGTCTCCAGAATGGCAGTCAGTTTGACTTTACAGACTATTCATACCTACTGAAAACATTGTAGATATAAAGTAGACATATTGAAACATATAAACTGCCTCTTTTTCTTAAGGTTCTGGTATAGATTTCTCCAGAGAATTTTAAATAATTGTGTGCCAAAAAGCATTCCTCAGTTTATCCATGCTTTATTATCATCTGGCAAGTAACATAAAGATAGGTGCATTCTTCATCTTTCTTTATAGAATATCTGCCACAGCACCGATAACACTTTGTAGGAATGAGAGATACCCTAAATTGTGCACCCTTTGCAAGTATGATCCAGCCAAAAATAAAACCCTTTCAGTCCCATTGTTGTTTGTTCGAGAAATGTTATTAGGCCAATCAGATTATTATTAATTTTTTTAAAAAGTTCAGTCTGAACAAAACAAATTTATACATAGAACAGATTAAAATAGAGCTAGCAAATCTCCATATATGGCCAGAGGCTTGGATACATAGTTTGGACATTTCTCCAAAGATAACCCCTGGATTTATTTAGTCCTGAAGTGGATTTTTTAAAAAAAATTAAAGGAAGAGGTATACAGGAATAGCTACAAGTGGGAGCATCATTTCCCCTCCCTTGGAGAAAGTTTCAAAGGCTCTTCCTCATTGAGTATGTTCCAAGATTAAATTGAACTGTATGTTGAGAAAATGGTTATGGTTCAAAATTACTAGAACAATGTTCTCAATCCCAGTCAAAACAGCCCCTACCTTCTCTGAAGCAAACAGATTTGCACATTTGCCGTGCCTCTTATACAGGCCTATATAAACTGTATGCAATAGTTGTCATTCAAAGCTATGCAGTTACATCCTTCACACAGCTGGAGCTTCAGGACAGAATGTGCACACCTGACACCACATATTGTAAAGATTTACAAGCCACAAGCCACAACCTCAAGGATCCCATTAACATAAAAATACAAATATACAATTCAGAGAGAGAGAGAGAGAGAGAGAGAGAGAGTTGTTTCTGTGTTCTTTCAAGTCGTTTCTGACTTATAGTGACCCTAAGGTGAACATATCGTGGGGTTTCTTGGAAAGTGTTTTCAGAGGGGGCATGACATTGCCATCCTCTGAGGCTGAGAGAGTGTGACTCGCCCAAGGTCAACCAGTGGGTTTCATGGCTGAGCAGGGATTTAAACCTGGTTTCCAGAGTCATAGTCCAACACTCAAACCACCACGCATATATATCAATGCACATTTCACATTGCATACTACCTCTGTGCATTGTACAATGAGGTGACAGCTATGTGCATTAATTGTTTCCCGTATGTTGTTCCACAGTGCTGTTCAGCGTAGCAACTGCATAGTGCTAGTGTAGCATAACTCTGTCAGTGGGTGTTGCCATTATGCTGAGAAGAAGTAGGATCTTGAGCATGGTGTAAAACAAAGTGGGGGGGGGGATTTCTCCCCTTCCCTTTCTTTCTTAAATCTATCACTAAGGAATGAAAAGTCTCAAGCTTTTCTGTTTTATTATGATTGAGGATGAAACATTGCTCTTATATTTAGGCATAGGTATTTGCCAAAAGGAGCAAATGTATGGATTTGGATATAGAGAAAGGTAAGCATAAAATCCAGATTGGACTACAGACACTTTTCCTAGGCACCACAGCATGTACTAAATATCATGGGAGTTCCCCCCTCCACACAACTCAGCACACCAGCCTCTGCAGTGAAAGGATCAGAGCTGGAAATATTGACAGCAACAAAATGAGGAAGCAGGAAAATATCAGAAGTAAACTCCATTAACAGGGCCTTGGAGATTGACAAGGTGCTCCAGGCAGTCAAATAATGTGCTATGATCAATAGACTCAAATTCTGCTGACAGATCAAGCAATATCTCCACTCCATAAGCCAGTGAAGTTTGCATGAATAAGTAAGTCACATTGCAGTCTCTTCCTAGAGGTCTTGGTGATATGATGAGCTATGAAGTCAGACTGAAATTTCTTAAGCTGCTGGATAACAGAAGCTTCAATAGAATTGCTAAAACACAGAGCTGCAACCTAAAAGAATAAAGTTAAAAAAGAAAAAAGAAATGGGATCCAAACTGCAACTGAGGAATTATAGAGGGCCAATGATTACCTAGGACATTTTCCCCACCGACCCCTGCTGCTCAAATAGCAGACCTGTTCTTTCAAAACTCTCATCCTTTTACATTTAAGTGACATAATTGCATTGGGTTGTGTTAGTATATAGTGTACTGTATTTTGCTGTGACATATTTTCTTTTCTGTTACAATTCTTTTGTGTAATACATTGTGGAGAATCACAAAGCAAAAAAGAAACTGTTGATGGAAACAAAGAAGTCTCATTTAACTCTCCTCATTTTCAGACATAATTTCAGTTGCACAGTTTGGGAGCAGGGCCTGTAATTTTAAAAAAAAAACATATTTGGGCACACAGATCAAGGTACATGGCCCTTTGGGGATCTGTCCTAAATATTCCACTGTCAATTGTGCCTTATCTTCTCTCTTGAAGAAGAAAGAAGTCTCTTTCACAAGAGAATCAAGTCATTAAAATGACTTTGCAGCTCCCACTGAGTGGAAGAGGAAGACGAGAGGAAGCAGAAGAGGAGGGAAACTGCCAACATTACCACCATCACTATTAGTTTCCCTCTATGTATACTTTTACTAGCAAACAAGATTCCTTCAGTTTAATATCAAAAGTGGGACCTTTCATCACATACCTGCACCTGTACCTGAGGATGCAGGGTGAAAAGGTTACTGTTGTTAATTTTATTTATATCCTGCCTTTTTACTCCTAATTGGGATTGTTGTTATTCTACCACACATCCCAAATGCATAAGCCTCTTTCAAATATAATATATACTGCTACACTCTATCAATTTATTTAATGTGTTAAAACTAAGGTAGTGGAAAAAGAGCAATGAGATAACAAACCTCTAATCACATTTATTTGAGTTTCACGAGAAAGCTCTGTCAAATGGCATTATATATATATACATGGAATTTTCACTAACACTCCATATTGCCCTATGAGCTCATGGAACCAATTTCAAAAGCAAACACACCACAATATTATGATGTCACCTTTATGAAACAGGGCTATTAACTTTAATTAATGTTTCCCAATGTAGTTGTTTTAAAACTCTCTTCTGCTTTGAGCACCAACCATCTGTTTCACAGGTGTTATGTAGAGGTCCTTGCAAGCAGCTGAAGTACCAAGGCAACTCTGGAATTAGAAGAATGGAGCAGGACGCTTTCAGATAATCATGCACAGGGGGCCATCATTCAGACCAACTAAAGCTTGTCCTGAGTCGCTCCTATAAAGTAAAATTCAGATGTGAAGTCATAGGCTTTCATGGCTGGCATCCATAGTTTTTTGTGGGTTTTTCAGGCTGTGTGGCCATGTTCTAGAAAAGCTTCTTTCTGATGTTTCGCCGGCATCTGTGGCTGGCATCTTCAGAGAAGTCATTCTCTGAAGATGCCAGCCACAGATGCCAGCGAAACGTCAGAAAGAAACTCTTCTATAATATGGCGACACATCCCGAAAAACTCACAAAAAACCATAAAATTCAGGTGCTGGCAGTCAATGCTTGGAAACAGAAAGGAGGACCAGAATTGACCCTGTTCTGATCAAACAAGTCCATACTTATATTATATGAATAAAGACTATGAAAATATAGAGTAGTGAATTTAGTCCTCGAAAGATCCTAAGTGTGTGCCAGGCCAGCTGGCTGCTTTTAGATGGATGATAAATGGCATGCTCTCCACACCACAACTTAACGGTAATCACAGTATTATTTTATGGCACATTTGTGTACCTCTTATTATCCAAGATCATTTTCCTTTCATGCGAGCCCAACCTACTCTTAACATTATATGCATTTCCTGGCTTTGGGGCTTGTCAGCAAATTCAGACACTTTTGATACTGGGCCAGTTTTCTTCAGACATTTATCTATCTTGGCAGGTCTCTGCTGGCTTGTTCAAGCCCTTTCCAGGGTGACCTACGAAAGTATTAAGTTTAGGAGTGGGGAGTAGAAACAGTGTCCAACTATAAATGAGGGCAGGTGTCAGTGATCATCATCCCAATTGATACGGACCACAAGAATAATGGAAATTTGACAGTCATCAAACATTAACTAGGTGGCCTCTGAAAACCAAATAGATGCACTGTTTCTTCTAATCGCTTCTATTAAGAAAGAAACAAATTATTCTGATGGCAGAGATATACGACATGAGGCATTTCCCTTGACCTTTCCACTCTCCAACGATAACTTATACTCAATAGTCCTTGAGTCACATCACTGTTTGATTCATAAAAGCTATCATTCTAAACTGAACTTTTAGAACAAGTAGTCGTCCCTTCGTATTCGTGGGGGATCCATTCCGGGGCCCCCGCAGATTCAAAATTTCCCGAATATTCAAGTCCCACTGTCCTCAATGGTGCCATTGGGGACAATGGGACTTGACTATTTGGGAGATTCCCTCCCTCCCTCCCTCCCTCCCTTTTTTGC